AGACCGGAAGAGGCACGAATTGTGGGTCATGCCGTTCACCGGATAGACTTTGGAAGACCGTCGACTCGTAGCTCCAACGCGAAGCTCTGCTCCCAGCACTTTACGTCAGACGCCTACACACGGGATCTGCGGCTGCTGACTGTTGCGGGTTTCTCCACGAAACAAGCGTCTTTGAAAAACGATGCGCTAACGTCGCTCTTCGCGTACTGTCCGCCGGCTGCTCCAGCACGATCGACCGGACGCAGCAGGTCGCGGCTGATCTAACTAGCGTGCACATAAAGGCACCTTAGCTTTAACAACTTAGACCGCTTGTGGATACATCTGTCCATCTATCTCCCATTATTTCTTTTTCTCTCGGTCCGCGAGCAAGAAAAAAATACAGTCACGCTGCACCGGCACTGACTGCGTCATATTTATGGCAGTCGGATTCGCTTATAAATACTCACTAAAGCTTACTAAGCTTGGTGCATATTAACAAAGTGAAGCGGTAGAAAAAGAAAATGTGCAACTTACCTTCTGTTCTGAAACTCCACGTTGGACTGAGCCGACGTTGTCGGAGAGTCGGCTCAGAAGCGCGGGACGGGAACTAGGTCATGCCGACGATGCTCCAGTAATATCAGTGCTACCAAGCTGCTTCAGCCGGTAGTTTCGGTTTCGCCGTGCCGCGGAACGATACTTGGATTCGCGATATCTACTAAACTATACACACTACCGAAAAACTAATTTTATCTCGTGATTCAGGGTCGCCGGCTTCAACTAAACAGACCATAATCCAAAAATTGTAAAAATGGAGTGGAGTTGTCCCTTGACATAAAACTGGCTGAACTTTTTTTCCTTCCTCATTTAGGATGTTTTCTTTATGGGCAGCGGTAAACACTTTAACGCTTCAATAATGAAGCTTTCACGTAAATATTGGTTATAAGTAGGGTTCTGTGCTTTCGGTGTTCATTTTATTTTTGAATACTGGGATGTTTTTTTTTTATTTTTTAGGGTTTATTTTTCTTACAGATTCAGCGTGTTTCAATGTAAATTTGTGGTGCCGGAAAAAAATTCGGTGTTTCTCAAACGTGTCCGGTAGGCGTTACCCCCCCCCCCCCACCCCCCCCCCCCCCCCCCAAAAAAAAAAAGCGATTATAGTCACAATTACTCGGTTAAATAGTAATAAATTAGAATACCTGATTGCTTGAAAAGAAATGTAATTGGTCATTACATCAAAAAGCAACCGTTGCTTTTCCGACTACTAATTATTTTCTGCCGGCTTGATAACGGGTCTTTCGTATTTTTCCGAAATTGTGCTCGCGCGAGTGTTTTGTCTAGCTTCACTTTATGTTTTTACCTCCTCTGGAAGTTCGCTCGTCTCCACGGAACGGCTCATGCATTCTACCGGAGTCGGGGGGGGGGGGGGGGGGGGGGCAAATGGGGATGAACGTGAATGGTGCAACGGTATACTTAGTTCCTAGAACCCCGCGTCGGAGATGTTTTGATTTATATATGTCTGCTTTTGGGATCTCTGCTTTGGAGGTGGTTTTGCTCCCTGTATAACTTCTCTCCCTTCGTGCGTGCTTTGTCCTGTTTTAACGAATGTTTTGAACTTCGTCCGAAGTGTTTTGTCTTGTGTATGCGCTTGGTTTTGTCATGCTGATGTTTGCTTTGGGCTTCGAGCCTTTTGATTGGTCCTGAAGCAACCCCTCTTGATTGGTCCTTCCAAAACTTTCAGATAAGTGGACTGGAGGACTCCAGAGTGCTGCTGAACTCAATATAAATAAGCGGCCACCGAAGGGCCGTAAGGGCCTTGGCTCCCGGAGACCAAGCCCTGGACATCACCCTTCCTCTGGAGGCCAACTGGGGCGTCCGACCCCATCCGGTTGTGGAGTTCTCCGCTTGCTAGCTCGCAAGCTTGGGACCCTTTACGGCAGTGGAGGAGATCGGCTCGCCCGCCTTCGTGTGGATCCTTGTTTGTCGAGTTTGGCTGTGGTCAGAGCCCCCGCTGAGGATGTGTGATCGAGAAGGACGGTAGGGGAAGTCACCAGAGGTTAGGAGTATCTCTTCTCCAAAGTTCATAGACGAACTATCTATGTATGATTGCAAAGTATCCTTGTCTATAAACAGTTGTATTTCGTTAATAGCACCATCGTCATCAACTAAAATATTCTCTTCGTTACAGTACTATCCAGTATTGAGTTCGAGTTACCAAATTATAATCTACTTATTTCCTTAAATTCAGAAATTTTGATAAACCATCCTTCTCTCGGAGATTCAGTTCGAGGATTTCTCGGCAGGAAACTTGTAGAAACAAGGCGAGCCAATAGAAAGGAGACGGGAAAATAGTAATAGAGTAACCACCGTATTGGTTACACTCACGAGATTCAGGAAATAATCGCGATTATTTCCCGATTATTCGAGTGATTACAAAATTACTCCAAAAAGTAATCTATGAAGAGTAATTTCATTTTTTTTTGCAATGGGTACCGTACAAGTCTGCCTGGAGGGAGTGTGCACGTTACCCAAATACTCGGAAAACGTCCCGGTACGGATAAAAGATGGCAACAAGACAAATAGCGTGGTTCCCGAATTAAGCAGCGGCCTCGCGGATTGTTCGCTGGGGTCTGTGCTCCGAGTCGATACAAAGTAAGGCTGCAAATAAGGTGGCGGTCTATGAGGCTTGGGGTATTGTTTGTTTATTCAAGAACAATTTCAACTAGGTTTTTTTTTTTTTTTCTGGTAATTTATAAAAGCTTCTCGGGGGTTAAATTTCGGGGTTTGTCGGTATATATACCGAAAACACGGATTCCTAGCTATAAGCTGTAGGTTTCCGTGTTTTCGGGGTTTATTTTTCTTCGAATTCAAGGGTGTTTTGTCGAAATTCGTTTTTTTTTTTTTTTTTTTTTTTTTTTCACGCTGATTTGCTGTTTTGCCGTTTTAATTTTTGGTGCTAGACAAAAAATAAAAATGCATTGGAAATTGTGATAAAAAAAAATATAGGACACGGGAATGGAATCTTTTAACCTCGACCCAAATACTTGGAAACCGTGTCCTCATCATCGGACGAAGAAACGAAATACTATGCGAGATTCCGAAGCCAGAAAAGACTCTCGCGGACAGTTCGTTGGGGCTGTGTTCGGAATGAGCACACAATACAGCTGTAGACAACAAATTTCTTCGCACAAAAGTGTTCCTTTTTTTCCTCTTTTTCTTTTATTTCAGGTCAGCTTAGGTTTGGGGTTAATCGGTTTTCCCCGATTTTGCTAAGACCTCTTCGGGGGTTAGCTTTCGGGGTTTATCGGTAATTACCAAAAACACGGAACCCTACTATAAGTTATAAGTTGAGTTATATCTCATGTAAACAACATTCAGTTGGCCTTTTCAACAATTAAATGAATTATGTCGCCACGCGCGTGAGAATAAATGAAAGACTGTGTTGGAGTTCTGTGCCCACGCACGGGTCAATATATCAAACCTGGTGTCTGACATCTTCGTGGTCACCGGGAAGTCGAGAGAAGAACTCTGCCGATGATTCACTGAATGAGATAACACTTTATTTTGAGTTGTGGGGGGAAAGGGGGAGGGGTGAATCGCACTTTGGATGGACGGAGTGGCAACTCAAGTAAGCGGCGCTCGGCCGCTGAAAATGGACGGATTCACTGGGGTTTTTCGGAGCTGCATTGCAGCGACGGTGCTCACCACAGGGAGGCGACGCAGGGCGATCACTCGGGCAGAGTTGCATTTCTCTCTAAAGCACCATCCTAACAACATCTGGTCGAGGCTGATGTAGTCGAGTTCCTCATTTAATTTGCGCGGTGTCGTCGAGGAGCGTCGTTCTAAACGTTGACGAACCGCGAGCACTTAGAGCTGGTGAACCGTGCTGTTCCGCACCAGATGAAACAAAACATAATACAAAATTCGACACCGCCAACCCCCCCCCCCCCCCCCCCCCCCCGAAAAAAAAAAAGAAACGTTTCCATTAACGGGCTTTTACCAAGCTTAAGAAGATTGATGCACAAAACAACTTGTTGCACTCATGACTTCCTGATGCAGAACCCTCCCCCCGCCCCCAACCCCAGAAAAAAAAAAAGAAAAGAAGTCAACGCCGTGTTTTAGCCGAAACAGAAGCACTCGCTGTGCACAATACGTGTCATTCGGGATTTCTGCCACTAGTCCTGACTTCTGAACGGAAGGCGCCGTCACAAACGTTCCAACCAGCGTCCTCTGATTGGCGGAATCAAACCGCATTATCACCGGGCGACATGAGTGAGGGGCACGCCGTAGAGAAGAGTATGCACACAACCTTGCAGTCTGTCGACGTGTTGCCTCGCTGGGTGTGACACCGTGAGTTTGTCTTGCCGAGTTGGTGGCGTCGCCGAGGTACCGTGGAGGTCTTGAGTCTTTGGTACGGCACAGTGGGGGGGCACTGGCCCAGAAACCTGTCATTCTTTATAGTGATGCATAATTTCTTCAACGTGAAAATGTGATAAATTTCGGACGCAGTGCAGGCTTAATCAGGCGTTTTTACACGGCCTTGATGACACCACGCCCGCCTCTGTCATATACGTGCTCGGGTCGTCGCAGTAATGAACGCGCCCGGAGATGTTCAGAGGGACTCCGCTCCTGGCACCGGATCACTGAAACGCGTAAACCAGCCGCGAAAAAAAAAAAAGTACAAAGACTCGCGGCTGGTCTAGGGACAACCGTCAGCGTGCGACGCCCTCTGATCAATGAGAAAACGCGATGACAGCTTAACTGATTCCAGTATTTGGGCTTTTTGATGCGCCTTCGGGGATGTCCATAGGAAGTCGACCGCGGCGTTGAGGAGTCGAAGAGCTCTCGAAGTGCCGGCCATACACCCTACAACATACCAGGACAGCACGCCGCCAGGAACTGTCTTTAAGAGCGCCGGGCCTTTAAGTATCGCTGGCTTTGAGATCGGCGAGGGTGGGTGGTGGGGCACGGAACGACAGACGAATCACCCAGGAGGAGCAGAGCCTGACTCAGCCGCTGAAGAGGGCGTCCGCGGGGCCCTGCTGGGACGACTGCAGGCGGGGCGCCGGGTTGGAGAAGGCCGAGTTCTCGCCGCCCATGCGCGGCAGGACCAGGGCCGTGGGCCTGGGCCCGGGCTGGCCCTGCAGGCTAGCGAGCGGCGGCGTGGCGCACTGCGGGGGTTCCGGAGAGGACGGCGCCGAGCTGCTGGGCGACGGCGGGACTTCGGCTCCGGGCTTGAGCAGGTTCATGCGCTGGTGCCGGCGCCACTTCGCCCGTCTGTTGGAAAACCACACCTGTGTTGCCGACAACGCACCGTTGGTATGCGCTCCTCCAAGGGCTCGGCCACGCACAGGGCGCAGCCGAGCCGGCGCTCCGGCGGCACGCCCGGTCCGCCGCACACACGCACTTCCTTTCTTTTTTTCGAAAACTCTGTTACTTTAAGCGGTGTTCACGAGAGTTTCAAATCGAGTTAAAAGTTTGTCTCGTTCCTGAGTTTTTGCACTTTCTATTCCAGTAAGGTGTTAAGTCGCTAACGATCACAATCGACTTTTACTATTATTGGCCTCAATTTTACGAGTCTAGTACTAGCTTTTTTACCATATATATTGCATTCAATAGAGTGCGTGTATGTTGGTAGGGTCGAGCGAGACGCTGACGCGCGATATTTGCAATAATCTGCACATGCATGCGGCAAAAGTTCCGTCATTTCCGCTCAAGACATGCACACAAACATGTTTTGTCAAAGCATATTCGACGGAAAAGGTTTCGTCGTAAGATCCGAACACAGTGGCGACGCACCTGGCTAGAATTTAACAGTTTTCCCACGAATTCTTAGATGTCCAAAAAATCAGTTTACGGCCCGATCTAAATAAAATAAAACAAAGAGAAAACAACAGATGATTAACATTATCACCCCACAGCAAAAAAAAAAAAAAAAAAAAAAACTGTCTACTATATTTGTACGCTCTTTCGTTTTGGCACCGAGCCGAGCCAGGACGAGGAATGAAGCGGTAGGATTGCAGTATGTATAGCCGCACTATTTATGAACAAGACCCTTGCGTCTACTTTCCCACAAAACACATATACAGCCAATCATTGCGTTGCGCATAAGTAACATAGCGAATAACAAGACCGAGTACACGATTCTCCATACATATGCAATCTTCACAGATGGTATCTTCACACGAATACGCTATCTCTGTCCTTTAAACCGCTGGAGTCATGCTGTCGATCGCGGTGATTGGCAATACGCGTGCTCTGCGGAAAACCGAACCTTTAGGTTTGCTTCACGAATATAGTGCGGCTATTACTTGAGTAAATACGATAACGCGGCCTTCGAATGATGCGACGTTTTTTTCCAGTGCCGCAACGTTGGTGCCACGGCGTCACATCCTGTGAGCCGATATCGAACGAGAGTTGTCGTTCGCCGTCTGCTCAAAACAATGCGAGAAGGACAGGTCCTACAGCGGTGCTGATCTTTCGTTCCCGTAGCTGCGTCTTTTTCCCTGGCCTCCTGCGCCAACAGGTAACAAGGCGTACCGGAGCCCAGCTTGGGGCACAACATTGACAGGAGAACCTTGCGTCAGCGTTAAGGCGGGGCTCGTGTCCACTCAGTGAGAACACGAGACTCGGCCGAACTCTGACGCAACGCTCGGATCCAATAGGGGTATGCGACGTAGAAAATCCAGCACTGCGGCCGTGTTATCTTAGGCGCTTTAGATTGCCAGTTAGGTTGCCCCGCTTGCGCGCCGTATTCAAACCAAACAAAACATACACAAACAAATCACGATTCTTTTTTTAAAATAGATTATGAAGTTATAGATTGTATTATCACCTCAAAAGACGAGACGAAAATCTCTTTAGTGCACACTTAATGGTTCGCTTGCAGATAGAAACTGTCATTTCTTTTTTATACGGGCGGTACAATCACGTCGCATTGCATGAGAATAATTCATGCGCGGTTTACAAGGTTGAAGTACTGCGTGCACCAGATGATATAAGCGGCATTGGATCTTCTGTAGCAGGTTTTGTGGTGGGCGAAAAATTCGTTTGGAACAGCCACAGGCAGTTTTATAGCAGATGCCAACGTCTGTTAGGACGTCAATTGAAAATGTGATTGCGTCGCTAGATGACTTCATATATATGAAATTGGTTTGAGGGTTTCTATTTGATACCGAGGAATATTACTGATTATCTTTTGTTGTAGGAATAGATGCAAAAGAATCACGCACCCTTCGTTTCATAAATAATGCTGAGGTCAGAGTGTATTCAATTTATAATCGATATTTAAAAAAAAATAGTCGAAAAATGAGGCGCTGAACACTTCAGTTGAGATAAAGCCTCTCTCCCCTCCCCACTTTTACATTCAGTAGTTAATTTAGCCCGTAAACTCCCGTAAACTATCGGCAAAAAGCAGCATATCCGCTGAAACGCGGCTATAGATCAAAATACGTCCCCGCAAGTTTTATGACCGCCGAGCTCAAGATTTTAATATAATAAAATGCATAAACAACCAACCACAAATATTATCAAAATCTACATTTGCGCTTTAAAATCGGCACCGCGCTTTAGCGGAGTTTGAACATTGAGTCGAAGCTCGCTGCCCTTTCGATTGACTGCTACTCGGGAAGTACCTTGACCACCGTATTTATTCGAATAGAGACCCGCGTTTTGTCTCCTTTCTTGACACATCCTTTTAAAATTGGAGGTCAACCTACAGTCAAGATTAAACAAAGTCGACGTAATAGAAGTGAGCATAACTTCCGAGCCAATCGCGCTCACCCACGCGCTCCCCCGTGTCAACCGCTGCTCCTAGCACTCCGGTGCAAAGCGGTGAAGCTCGACTCGCGCGCGCAGGTGTAAGGTCGTGAAGGTTGACGCGAGCGTGCTACGGTTAACTGTAGCCACGCCAATGGAGGCGTGTGGCGGACACGATAATTAAGTTATATCATCGGGAGTAGAAGACCCTGGGTTCGTCTTATTGTAGAAGAGCCGCCATCCCATGCACTATTTTGGAATGCCTCTTGCGACTTTTAGCTCCTCACATCATCTGGAAATTTAGACGATGATGGGGACGGCGCGAATTGAGAGCCATCTCTACACTTCGTTTCAAGTTAAGTCAGAGCGCAGGAGACGCTACGAGTCTAGGGGACCAATCACGCAGAGTCAAAAGCGCAACGTCGTGACTTACGTCAATTATCTGTGCGTGCTATTTCATTGGCTAAACCAATCAAGCACTGCGAAAGCCCCTATTTTTAGTGCGTGTTCGAGACTATATGTGTTTGAGCCTTTGACTGTTCTGACGTAAGACGAGACGAACCATACGGTGGGTTGAGCCGCTGTGAAACACATATGCCTACCGTTTTCGTTTCCTTCTACTTTTCTGAATATTCGAATCAGCCAGTAATAAAATATTTGTATTATACTATTTTAAACGGGATACGAACCAACGTTACGATATATAAGGGGAAAAAAAGACAGCGCAACGACATAGAAATGAATAATGTAAAAGAAACAAAGGCGGACGGAATTTATCTGAAAGACTAGTTGGTCGGTTGTACAATGTCATCAAAATTGACGCCGCAGCTGTATGCTCGACTATGTTCCACTGCTTAAAACGATTACGATAATGTTATGTTTTTTAACAGAAACTTGGCCACAGTTGAAAAAATAATGAGAAAATAAGTGCAACTGCAGTTATAATTGCAATTATGCTAGACACAAGCCATATAGAGCGAGATATATCCTGAGGTTCTATTCAACCTAGAAATTAATATCTGACAATCGGCCATGCTCACTCCCGCTCTGTATCCAGTTAGCTCGGACCTTTTAGATCCAACTTTGGGCGCCAAATACGGGCCCCCGGTACACCTCCTCTATTCAGAAATAGATACCTTTCAACGAAGACAGAGCGAGCTTTCTAAGCAGATTCCAAATCCACCTCCCTATCAGGTACGCAGCAGCACGTAACTCATCATCTCTTTACCTCTCTCCCTCCGTCAAAAGAAAAAAAAAAAACGAAAAGAAAAGGACATCATAGCCCCTTTTAAATAGTCCTAGGTACGAGTCCGCGAGCAAACGAGGCCTAGCAAACAATGCAGAATTCCTCGCGCGTCCACAGCCAATCCGGGCTCCGTGGACAAAGATGCACGAAAGGGGGCAGCTCGATTGGTCGAGAAAGCGACTCTTGCCGAGTATAGCGGCAGAGCACCCCCTCTTGGAGTGGCGCGGGGTAGGTTATGGCCCCGGCGCAGAATGGGGCTGCGTCAGCACGAAGCTCCACGGCGTCGTGCTCCATTTCTCGTGAAAGGGGGCTCTCCTCGTGAATGTCGTTTCTTCTTACGGCAGCCTTACGACGAGGGCTTACTGCTCATTGAGCGTGCAGCCCGGAGGCGCTTCCGCCGTCTCGCCGTCGTGCGTCCGAGTTTCGGTCCCATGCAAGCCGGGATGATGCGAGCGCGAGCGGCACGAGGGTCGTTTGGGCCGCGCAGATCCATTTCCTGCGGAGTCCCTTTTGTTCGGGAGCCGCTTACGGAGGCCGAGATGGTCGCCTGGGACGACGCTGCAGCGCGAGCAGCCCGCGCAGCCGCTGCTTCCGCGCGGCCGAGCTACGCGCGGGGGCAGCGGCCACTTGGACGGGAACGTCGTTAACGCGGGGTCGTTGTCGACCCCGCGTTAACGAAGAAAGAAAATAAAGAGAGGAAGCTCGGTTTGGGAAGAAACCAGCTTCGCGTGTTCTTCTTGGCGTCGTTGTTGTTGTTATTTTTCGGACATAAATATAGTTAATATACTTATAGGAGGAAAAAAAGGCTTCGAGAGTTTGTGTTTGTGTGTTTGCAGAAAGCGCGTTGTATACCTCGGTCTCGAACGGAATCGACGCAGCTTCTCTGACTTCGAATGGTAGCAGCAAACGCAATACGTGGGTTCGTACGTGACGATCTTGTGATCTTTCCGCGCTTTTGGGTAAACGGAGAAAGTATAGCCACGTAATAGACGATAACGAGGCTTCATCAATACACTCAAGTTTACAATTGAAAAAAAAAAAAAAAAAAAAGTCCTCTCGTTGAGTGGGTTTACAGGGAGGCAAACGTCCACCGCCGCAGTCACGCTTGCGCGTGGGTGTTATCTATTACAATATTTGTAACTTTTGAAAGCAAGGAGCGTATTGTTGGATGCTTGTCGTTTCGGCGAAGTTGCCCAAAAAGTTCCCCTTTTTGTCTTTAGGAAAGTCAGCCGAAATGGGGACCACGCCCCTTCAGGAACATAATGGAATGCTT